GTAGAAAGGGATGGGCGATCCGGATTGTCCCGAGTAGGAAAACGGCCGAAAGTTCTGCATGTTCGGCTCGCAGCAGTTTAAGTTTCCGCGGGGCGCCGAAGTTATAACGAGAATTGCTCCCCCCCCTCTCTCTCTCTCTCTCTCTCTCTCTCTCTCTCTCTCTCTCTCTCTCTCTCTCTCTCTCTCTCTCTGTAAAGTTTTCCACCTTCGAGTTCCAGCGCGCGTACATACCTTTCTCAATTTTTCTCACTCTCCCTCTTCCTTGCCCTTGCGTTTTTCCTCGTTTCTCTCTCTCTCTCTGTCTTTCTGTTGTCTCTATTTACATGGCACACGTTACCGCGGAATTGTTCGCGTGCATACGCCCGCCCTGTCGTGCTCGCCCCCGTGTAAGCCGTGTACATCGCAGGCATTTTTTCCGAATGCGGAACCCGCCGTCTCTTTCTCTCGCCTTTCTCCTTTCGAGTCCTCTCTGCCGCTCGTTCCCGTTGCCTTCGTGCCGGATATTCGTACGGCGAGAATAAAACGCTGGCATATTTCAGACTTATTGCCCCCCTCCGCGCTCGCCGAGTATTCTCGGCTCCTTTATTGCGCCTAGTTTCATTCTTTTCCGGTTTACGGTATTACCGCAACGGCATTACACGTGTTTCAGCGTTCTTATCCCCCGTCCTCGTGCACGCAACATAGCCCGATTCCGCGGTTTCACCGTTTCGCGAATCCTCGAGGTAGTCATTTATAGGCTACGATTTTATTTCGCATTGTGAACACATATTCTTTGAATTAAAGATTCTAACATTAAAACTATGTATTCTACTAAGAATGTTGTAAAAGAGTAACGCTCTCCTTTGAAAATAAAATCACACCGTGTTTTCAATATTATATTCAATATCCTCTTGCAGAGCAATGTTAAATAACATATAAATAAATTACAATAACCTTGGTAAAGCGGTTTGTATATTTGTTTTCGTTGAAAACATTTTCTCGACAAAAACAAAAACACTCCCTTTAAACATTTAATTGCACGTCATACATAATTTAGTCGTCTTTTTATATTATAATTTCTTAACGATCGCTGTCAGACCTTTCGGGATGTTTCGATAAACAAGAATATATAGTAATATTTATAAAGGAAAGAACTGCAATTGCGCTCAATGAAAATTTCCGCGCTCTCTCGTCCGTAGCAAATAATTCGAACAGCAAAACTGTTTACGCGAATATTACGCTGGCGATGAAAGATTGAGATTATTATAACGTTACCGATTTCTTTCGACTTCCAAACACGTTCTGCCAATATTCTGCAGAATAGTTAATAGTTTGTTTCGGTATTATCGTTATCCGGCAAACAGCTCGGATTAATTTCAATGTGTCTGATTATTGATACTGTCGCATTACTGCGGAAACCCTATTACACTGTCAGACTGTCGCTTAAGTACCGAATGGTACTTTGGGTAAGGCTCCCAATAATCGATACTGTGAATGGTTGGAATGGTTTCGACCCTTTGACCCGCATCGATCTACAAGGATATTGTCGCTATTTGTCAAACCTTGTGTTATTCTATAATCAAGGACGGGACTCGTAATTGGTTGAAAAGATAACTGGAGCGACTCGAGACATCGGAGGCACAAAAAATTGTAGAAATTAATTTTTACTTTTAAGCGCAGACACAAATGAAGCAAACCTGATAAAGAAAGTATTATAATACAAGAGCTGAAGTTCTAATTCTGTTAGATAGTTTGAATAGCAATAATCAAATTTTCCAGCCGCCTTCCCTTCCATTCTCATTGCCCCCTTGGATCCTTTATTACCAATTAAATTTCGCCCACAGTTTTCTGATTTCTATAATAATCAGCGAGTTAAGCTGCTCCAAGTTTGAAAGCCCGCCATTGTCCTTAATGTCTAGAAGTGATTCGCTGTAACGTCCCGCAGCGAGGATAGGTGCCGCAAGAAGAAGAAGGGAGTCAGGGCGCGGAACGGGCGTGCCCGAGAATGGGCTCGGATAGCGGTGGCGTTTCAAGTAGCATTTCCTTGGCACAAACGACCCTCTTAATCAATCGCTAGCACCTCTCTTCTTCTCCCAGCTGCCCCGGCTCCACAGCTCGAGCTGTGCGTGGGAGCACCGTCCTCCGCCCCTTACCGCCGGAAGTCTAAAGTCCCCGTAACAAGCCGCAACTTCGATAAATCTCCCCGCGCCGTCTTTCTTTCCCCGAGAGCCGCGATTCCGCGGCATTAGCAAGAACGAAAGGAGAAAGGCGAGCGAAGGATATATCTCGGATCGATTTCGGCGAAGGCGCTCGAGAGATACGATACGAAAAGGGAACGGAGGGGGCTGCAGAGATCGGGGAGCGGGGGAGAAAAACTTATGAAAATCCGAGATTTATGGGGACGTGTGAGCGAGAATCGGGCCAGGCCGCTGTGGTTCGGCTCTGACAAATCGTTCGGAAGTTAACGTTCTCGATCGTCCCCAGATCGCCTTTCCGCAAAGGCGAATCCCTCCCTCGGTGCCCCATTCCGAGAAGAGAAAAAAAACTTTCGACCCTTTAGATATCCGTATTTCGTATCGAAAGTTTGCATGCGTCTCGCTTCGACGTTCTCGACCAAGTTGAAGTTGCTCCTTTTTCAAAAGTCGAGAAATCGATAAACGCCACGATATTGCTTTCAAATTCTTATATTTTGTTTTATCGTTTGGCTACTTTATAGTTTACGGAAGAATGTTTTCGCAAAAGTAATGTTGAAAAGGACCAAGATTGATAAGGTAAAGTCGCGGCCGAATATTATTAACTCAAAACGAGTAAATAACCTAAATAGGCGTTTACTTATTTATATATTTTTTAATATGTAAAGAATTATTTAACGCCAGTACATGATTAACCAATGTAGAAAATTGCTAGACGACGCTTGGCTGGCAAATTCTAATTAAAGAAATTCATTGCGAAAAATATTTCCTCTGCCAAGGTTTGAACCTTGGACCTCCCTACACTCTAGGCGGGCGTCTCACCAATTCGACCACCGGAGGCATATGGTAATATTTATCGCAATAAACAGTACTTACTACTGATGACACCTTCGCGTTTATTTTTCTGCTAGCTGTAGCTATATATTTATTATATTTTATAATTGTAAAAATTGTCTCCTTAGTTCTATGCATGTTCTTCAAGTTGATACAACAAATTTCTTTTTAAAATAAATAGAAAAGTGCCATTCTCTACCTACTTTGACGTTCAGACGATTAATTAGAAATCCCCAAATGACGCAAGAGTTTAAATAAAATCATAGCACCAGAAAAATTCTTTTCCTATCGTGCTCCATCATATTTTCCGGCGTGTGAGCAATATCTCAAGGTAAACTTTCAAGATTGATTCGTCAATGGATCTGAACTGAAAGAAAGAACGATAGCGGGACGCTCTATATAAAAAGATAGATACACGGGAATTTTGTACAAAGTATTTGCCGCTCCATATCACTGAATTCGAAATATAATCCCTGATTGCTGAAAGAGATCTCGGCGCTACGTCTCTCTCGATCTTCGTGTATGAGAACCCGTGTATTTCTCACGGAATTTTCGTGCTGAAGTTCTCCGTATCGGCAACCGTTCGTAAAAAGACCCGATGGAGTAGAATTACCGAAGGAAGGAAGGAACATGAATGCTTCGGCTGAATGGAAAATGGCAACTATAAGGAAAGTCTAAAAGTTTCGAGCTTCGGAAAACTGAAAATGGGGGAAAGGCTGCGAGTTTAAGCGCTGATATAAACGATTCGGCTTCTTGCTTTCCGCGCTCGAGAAACGATCCAATCCGAATAGTCACCTGCGCCGTTTAGAAGGAAGCAATAATCGTTTGATTCCGTGCGTTTCTATGGAAGTCGAATCCTCGATTGCTAGACCCTTTGTTCGTAAGAACGAGTAAGATCGAAACGTTCGCTGTATGCAGAGATAAACACCATGTCCCAGATTCCAATGCGCTTCTTTATCTCGTCTATACATTGTAATCCATCACCTTCATCTATTTATTTTTTACGTACCCCGGTAAATCTCTAACCAATCTGACATTACTAATCCAGCACATCATATATTTTGCGATAATAACCGATAATTATTGACTGAAAATTTTGAAAAACCGAAAGAATGAACTTTATCGTGATAAGTAAAAACGTCATAATTCTAGAGATAAACATGCAGATGTTAATGATATTTATCAATGTTTGAAAAATCAAACGTTTCAATTAACTTGGCTCTAAGAATTTCGCCGACAAGAATGCTATCGGCAGCGCAAGTGGATCGCTTTGTCGGGGAAAGTCCCGGATCTGATCACATAAAGCAAGGATTACTCTAATCCATCGAAATAATTCTGCATTAGAGCACACACGGGGTTGGATATGGGGCTAATCTACTCGGACCAGGACCGAGTGCTCTTCGGAAACGCGGGAATTAAACGCGATCCCAAAAATATGAGGGAAGCGACCTCCGTTATAATAAATCCTAGAGTAACCAGTAGAAATTTATGCGTCGTATAAGCCAATTATTTATTATATGCCGCCACGATTCAGGGATGGTCGGGATAGAAACCTTTTTAGCTCTGTCGCGCAACCGCGGGGGAAAAGAAACAAACGAAATACAGCGGTCGATTTCAATGCGAAAAAGCGCGAAAATAAATTTGAATGAAAAAATTAAGCGGCTATGTACGCAATGGAGTCTAATATATTTACGCTATAATCTTAATTTTTCTTATTAATAGGAAACGTGAGTTCTAATCTTCGCTTTACGTTTATAAAACGTTGTGTGCCCTCGGGTGGCGGCATTGGTCGTTTCTAGTTATTGTGACTTTGACATATCAATAATTTGGTCGACTTCCAGCTCATAGAACGCTAGTTTTGTTAGAATTACTTGACCGATCGTAGCGACTTTCATGTCTAACCATCTTCTACGGTATCATAACAAGCGCACTTCTGGCCGCGTTTTATGTTTGATCAGTAAGCAAACGTGAAGAAGAGGGTAAGAGGCATGTTACCTGCGCCAGCCGCCCCTAGCCTCAGGACTGCATCGCTTTGAAGAGAGATGGAGAGAGTGGCGGTGTCCTCGAGGCGGGCGAGGACCTCTTCGGGAATGTCCTCGGGTTCGCGGAGGCGGAGGGTGACTTCACCCCCGCCTCCGCCACCCTGGCCACCTCCACCCCCGGGACTCGTCGACGCCGAGTACATGAACACAGATCCGTATCCATGTAATGACTGCAGTGGCAGCCTCACGCCGCCCACCTCCCCGACCGGACCCTGAAAATCGAAAAATGATTCGTGGTTAGGAAAACGGGCCAGTAAAAATAATACTTTTAATTGTCCACCTAACAAAAACCTGTGTTATATGTCCGAAAGTAACGGCGCGTAGGACAGGTCGGAAAATACGGTACATGAATTCACATATTAAATTAAAAATTATTAGGCTACCTCCAGCTTGCCTGGATCTAATTGTAAATATGATTTGGCGTGTATATTTCAAGATATACGAGTATCTTGAAAAGGTCCTGATTTAACTCTAGTTGTTTATAATAATTACTTGTGTACACGAAATTGATTGATTCTGTCTATCAGATTGCAAATTAATAAAACATTTTTCAACATCTTAAAACGAAATAAATTAAAACCTACTTATTCTTTCCCAATGATGTGCATTTCTTATTACCACATCATTTCTTTGATAATCTCTTTTAATCCATCTCAGAAATTGATACGTAGGCTGGTACAATATACGTAGCAGATACACTTAATATAACAATTGTAATGTACATTTAGAAAAAGTGACTTCGCAGTAAACGAGCTAATCTTTATGTTCTGTTTTATTCTTGATACTTGGAATTTTATGAAAATCTAACGATGCACCACCTCGCGCATAGCGTAAGCTCGGAGAAACAATAAAAAGAAACGATAGTTGTGTTTCGCCAAATGAAACGATCGTGAAAATGGTCGGCGCGCATGTTGCATTCTGCGGAACAGCAGCGAGAAGCCGCATAATATATGCCATGGAATTCGATTGGCGGAACGAGCGGTCGGGAAGCGCGTCTGAATCGATAGTAGCACGCGTCATATTAAATTTAAGGCTACAGTTTTCCCTTCGTCCGGTCGTATCCCGCGGGAAGACCCTCGTTCCCTTTTGCCGTTTCTCTCGACTCTCGTCTCGTTTTTGCCGCCGCCGACGCAGCCACGGCCTAAAGTTCTCTTTTACGTACGGAAATATTTTGCCAATTTCGCTGTCGATGCAAATTTCAATTCGCGAGCGTCAATATTTGCTGAATCGCGCCGAAAAAGGATTTTGATGTACTGGCATTTTATCCGCCATCGAACGCACGTTTGACTTCCGCGCGAAAAAGACTCTGCGCGCCGCGGTGAAAAATAAAGACAGAAAATTTCCAACAAATACGAATGAAATAGATCTTCCCTTTCATTCGGGATTACGATAAAAAAAAGACATACATACAGAGGGAAAGAGAGAGATCTCTTCTGGTAAGAGCTCGGACTCTGCTCGAGGTATTTTAATGGAACGAAGAGATTCAATTACCGCCGCGCGTGTTTCTCCGCGCGCGTAGTTTCTGATGCGCTGTCGGATGTAATAAGGAATATCGAAGAAACGTGGTGATAATGATAGTCGATATTACCTGGAAAAAGTGTGCGATGCAATATCGAGATACAATGGAAATTGTCCGATGTTTTGTATCGCGCGATCGATCGGTAAGTTAATGTCACTATCCAGAGAAATGGGATTATAGTGTTCGCTATAAATGAATTATTCTGCTATTTCCCAAACCCGCTAGAGAAAGAGATGGAGAGAGAGAGAGAGAGAGTCGCCTTCGGCAAAGTTTATCGATCACAGCCATCACGCGAAAGTTAACAAAAAGATATGCTTTATTAAAACAGAACCTAACAAAGAGTTATTTATGGAGTATATTTTTCGGGATAAAATAGAATACAATCCCACTTTGCGAATTGAAACTGAAAAAATACTATTGACGACAATCTGATGTAAGCAAACTGGCAGGAATAATTTGTACGTTACGTCGTTATCGGTAATAAAAAAAATGTTTTTCGGAAATGCACATGCAACGTCAAAGCTAAATATAGATATGTTTGTGCCAAGCATAAATTTGAAATAACAGATGTTGTTGGTTTCCGTAAACAGGAAAGTCGATTGATTCGCGTACAAGCCGGCGAGAATTAAAAATATCAGTGTAATACTGGTACAAACAAGGTTTACTGGAAATGTTTGTAGAACTCGGGCACGTATAAATGCCATTTGTATAAAGGCAATGTGCCCCCGCTAGTACAAACACCGGTTTTAATTCCGACGCGAATCTATACAGATGCAAACCGTACAAACAGAGAGTAGTCCGTTTACCGATTAAAATATTACGCGCTATGATAATTGAAAAACAAATTTGCCTGTACAGCAATAAAAAAATAAGCTGGTAATAATATTATGAGGAGTCTGTGACTATTTTTAACAAAATTTTACCAAAAATTATATTATTATTATTACCTTAATCCTCCTCCACAAACTTTAAAATTATTTTTTCAATTAATTTTTATCTCTCTTTTAGATGTAGTCCACAAAAAAGATTAAAAGATAACCATTTTATTCATTAATCGTTGTAATTATAATATATTTTAAACTCAGCTTTGATACGAAGAGGAAGATGAAGCTGTTGTGCAACAGTTTGGGTTCTAACCATTATCTGAATATTATGACACCTCATTACTTATCAAGCCAGCTTTAAAGTTTGCGTTTGCAAAAGATTATGTTGACTCAAAACTTATTAAATTTGTCCAACGAAAAATAAATCAAACGTTTCGAAGTGTCTTATTCAGAAAAAAAACATTAATTAATGAGATTTTTTCACATATTATCGTAATACATTTTACACAAAGATACTTGGAAAAACCTATCAATTAGAACGAATAATCTATGGTATACACCTATAGATTACGTATAATCATATAGTTAGTTATTAAAAAAAAAGACAATAGCATTCCAACAATATCCAACGTTATTTTTATGTACGGTTGTTAAATATCACGGATCGTAGAGAATCAATGCTGAAAATATGGTTTCGATAATTTTTGATAAACTTGAAATTTGTAAATTTTTCGATACCGTAAACTCCCTCGAAATATTTCCGAAGCACGGTGCGCTTAAGCCGGGAAATTTCAAGTTCGCACGTACACCCGTAATGCGTCCGATTTAATGGCCAGTGCCGTGTATCCGGTGGCGCGAATTTTCCCATTGTTAGCGGTCCAGGCGCGAGCCGCGTACTCTCTCTATTATTTACGTAAATTGATTCGTACCGCCGACTATTTCCGTGTCACGTATTCGCCGCCATCGAGCTAGCCGGCTTGGCGTTATAAGCGGCCAGCAAGCCATCGCTATAGCCGCGTGATGAGAGTAATTTATTTTAATGGTCATTTTCGTAATGGGTCTTTGAACAGGGCGCATTTCTGAATAGGACACGTATAGCGTAACACGACGATCGCGCTTCCTGCCTCTCTGCTCCTCTATATGCACGTGGTCGACGTGCCCCACGCGCGAGAGCGCGGCGAGAATGCACGGTAACTGTGCCATTCGCGAAAATGGCACCTGTTACCGGAAACAATGCCCGCCGTCTCCACGCTTTTCCATTTTAGCAACCGCGAAAACTTTTCCGTTTCACCCCGCGCGCTCTCTCTCTCTCTCTCTCGCTCTCGCTCTCTCGTTTTTACGGCCGGCATTGTAGTACGGCGGTGTAACGGGGAATCCGGTACAATTGGTAAAGCGACGGCCCATTTATGACGCCCGAGGATCATTTCCATGAAGCTGCAATTAATTGAATCCAACCCGAGAAACCTGTGATTTATGTGACGCGCCTAGGCAACGTTTTTGTAATAGAAGAACCGCTCGCTCGCTACAATTACTCACTTCGTTCATTATACACGGATATATTATGCCGCGTTTTCCTCCCCGTCCGCTGCCGGCGAGGGAATATTTTTCGAAATCACTTTTGCCCTGAGTACATCGAGTAAACGAGGAGGCACCGAGAAACGCCGGAAAGTTAAATCGATTTCAAGTTCACCGGAAGAACGAGAGGACTTTCCGATTCGACTTTCGCCGTGGCAGCAAAAGCGAGCTTCAAAGTCGGAATCCGGCGTTCTCGCTCGGCAAGGCGGAAGATTACGGTAATAGATACGGCGGGGATATCTCTCTGAAAACCGGGCAGAGCACACATATCGCCCCGAATCGACGTCATTCTCGATACACGCTATTACACGTGCTCGGTCAAGGGCGAAAGTCTCCCGTGGGTGCTCGGATAAATATCCACGGCATACGCGGAACACTTTGGAAAGAGGACTAATAAATATGAGATGCTTCGAGTTAGCTTGTACGAGTCTTTAAAGTATCCCCTCATTCCCTATTGGTTCGTCGCTTATACGTTCCATCGCTATCTACGCGTTTGTATCTTTTTAAAAATCCCTAAACTAATGTTCCGTAGTTTCACGTTGATAACTTAATCCTTCAATCGTCGCGCGCGGTCTTTAAAATAAATATTATCTTCAAAATAAAGTCTTTTCTTGTATTCTACACGTACTCGAAAACTTAATTAAACAAAAAAAGACATAAATTGATTTTGAGATCAATGGTGTGTATTAGATGACTGGAGAAAATCTTATAAGTCGCCAGAAGTAATTAAAAACGTCAGAAGATCACTTGACCATGTCTGGCAAATTTTTATGTTTAAACTCACAACGTTTCGACCATGGTTTGTGGTCCTTTTCAAAGGATAATTGTGCCAATAATTTCGTATGGTAAATCAAAAGAACAGGTCTTAATTTCACGAACGGCAGAGCACGACCTGTTCTTGTGATTTACCATACGAAATTATTGGCACAATTATCCTTTGAAAAGGACCACAAACCATGGTCGAAACGTTGTGAGTTTAAACATAAAAATTTACCAGACATGATCAAGCAATCTTCTGAAGTTTATAAATTGATTTTCTTTTACATTGGGATCTCTCAAGCCACGCGTTGACTCGTGTTGCAAACAGCACGGTGGCTAAAGGGTTAAAAGATACTAGAGTACCGCGTCGAAACGTTTTCTCGTTGTCTGTAAAAGCTATTGGTAAAATTGACGAAACAAATTACTTGAGATTGAAATACTTGGCCAGAAATCGAAGAAAATACAGAAGCCATGCTTCTTACAAAAAAATGGTAGGAATCCCTGTAAAGCAAACTTTTAGAGATTCGATTCGATT